TTGGTCTTGGCCTATGAAGTTGGGGGCGGTGCTTACATGCTGTCTCTTATACACATCTAGATGTGTATAAGAGACAGCTTCTCTTCTTCTCCCTCTCTCATCCTGCCTTCCAACCCCCTTTTTGCTCCCTCTTTCTGCACTGTTATTCATCCTGCCGTCCAACCTCCCTCTCACCCTCGTTTGTTCCACGTCTCTGTTTTCTTCTCAATCTCTGACAACCCCCTCTATCCCCCTCCTTGCCTTTTGTTAAGCCTCCCCCCTTCCCCACACCCCCCTCCTTAATTTAACCTTGAGACAACTGACAGATTGATGGGTCTGCTGGTTGATCTAATGTTGCTTGCTGCAGGGGCACATGTATTTGTTTGATCGTTTTGTTTGTTTCTACTCGAACATCTTCGGTTATGAAAAAAAGGTATGAGCCTACGAGGTATTATTTCCCCCTGTTTTCGTCATTTCGTCTTCATCTCTGACCTGAAGCATGGGGCATTATCCCCCCCCCCGTAAAGCATTTAACTCAGTCAACAATCAATTCGTCAGTCCGTTCCACTTGATTGTCCCGTGCCGTTACTGAAGCGATTGATGTACCCAGCCATCCAACTTTCCCCGCATGCTTCTTCTTTGTCGTCAGCCCTCCTCCTCCTCCTCCTGCTTGTCTCCTTTTCTTCTTTCTTCTTCTTTCCCTTCTCCTCCCCCTTCCTCTCCTCCTCCGTCTCCTCTTCGTCTCCCCCTTCGTCTCCTCCTCTTCTTACTCCCAGCTCCTTTTTCTCCTCCCACTCCTCTTCTGCTTCCCACTCCACCTTGTCCTCCTCGTCCCTCTCCTCCTCTTCTTACTCCTAGCTCCGTTTTCTCCTCCTACTCCTCGTCCGCCTCCCACTCCTCCTCGTCCTCGTCCTCGTCCTCGTCGTCCTCCTCCTCTTCTCCTCCTCTCCTCCTCTCCTCCTCTCCTCCTTTCCTCCTCTTCTTACTCCCAGCTCCTTTTTCTCCTCTCACTCCTCTTTTGCCTCCCACTCTTCTTTTGCCTCCCACTCCTTGTCCTCCTTCTCCTCCCGCTTCTCCTCCTCTTGCTCCTCCTCATTTTCCTTGCAGGAGTGGTTGGAGTGTGAGTTATTTTTTCGAAATGGTGGTCCCCTCATCAGCAACAGTACACTGCGCGTCGGTCAATTCTTTTTTTTTTTTTTTTTTCTGTTTTTAAAACCACCGTTACCTTTCACAGGCAAACTCAACACACTACACCGCATTCTTCAGGTGAACCGTCCTACGGACCAAGATGGCTGGCGACACCGGCCACAAAAAAGGAAAACTGCTGCCCTGGCTCTTCAGCAAAGCTTGCTGCAAAGTTCTTCCCCACCTTGGCGATAAGAGGCTCGGAGGTAGTGTCGGTTTTAACTTTTGAGGGAAATGGCCTTGCGGTTGAGCTGACCCTGGAATTTATCTGATTCCATCGGGATTCGAACTCAGGTCTGTTTATCAACAGCTGCATTGGCTGGGTGTACTCGTTCACCCACATTTGGCTGGGTGTACTCATTCACCCACATTTGCTGCTGCTCCTTTTTTTTTTAAACCTCTTCCCCCCCCCCCCCCTCCTCCCCCCCCCCCCCGTCCACCCGGCCCTCTTTCTTAAAGGCTTACAGTTGCCTGGTTTTTTTTTTTGGAGTGAGTAGCAACTGACATTATGATATGATATTTCTGACTCCATCAGGATTTGAAATCTGAACTTGCGACTTGTTCATCTATCCAGCTGCATGTCTTTTTGCAAAAGCTTTGGGATTTCATGGCTGGCCACGAGGAAAGTAATTCTGTGCGCCCGTTCCTGATTGCTTCCTGGACAGAAAGTAATTCCATTGAAGGATGTGACGTGTGTGCGGAAGGCGAAGACCGCAGGTGTTTTCCCGAATGCAATCGAGATTACGGCATTAGGCAAACGGGTGAGTTTCTTTTTTTGCACCATTGGACTTGTATGGACTCTCGGGTGAGAACGCAGACCTGCGGCGACGTCAAACGTTTTCTACGTTTTTAATACTGTTATTAATATCTTTGTAAAGTTCGTACGTATACAATTGTTGTTGATTTGTTATAGCATTGTGTAGACAATGTCACTGATGATCTGTGGGAGTCGTGCAAAACAAAATATTGTGTGGTTGCCTGCATTATGACTGTATCATTAAAATACCTCATGCACCCTGCCATGACATTTAATGGCAAAAAAAAAGTAGAAGAAAGATAAGGCCTTCTCACAGCGAAGCCCTGTGCGTGCAATCAGATTTCTGCTGATATGATTAAAAAAAACTGAGTTAATCTGGATTTTCGATTTTGTGATCAAGCAGGTCAGCCACGTGCCAAATTGGCCTCGATGAACCTGGACTTGGATATTGACAAAGATTCTTTAAAAAAACAATCAGGATTCTTTAAATGCAAGGTGTTTGTAATTACCTTCTTAATGCAGATGTCAGATTCATGAGGTGTTGGACATGGTGGAAGTGCGTGGAAAATGCCATTACTCTCTGTTCCATTCTGTCCATTGGAAGAAAGCATGGGTAGAAAGTTCTTGGAGCCTTGGACTGTCCAATGCACCACAGCGGATGTTGACATGGTGGAAGCGTGTGGAAAATGGTTGAACTTGTCCTGTGCAGCATTTCTTTGCTTCTTTCCTTTCTCGGGATGAAGCGTATCGGCTTATTATCAACGGATGGGGCATGCACAGTGGTTATGCCAAGCTGTTTCTTGGTGGCGATCATCCTTCGTCAAATCCGGTAAGCGAACAGGACAACATTGGTATAAGTTTATGACGCAGACTCAACAGCATGCAACCAGCAATTGATTTTATAATGAAAAAAATAAAATAAAATGAAATTTCCCGAGGCTACCAGCCGGGCCGCCCGGGTCCTGGGTGGCCAGCCCGTGCAAGGACCAGGGAAGGTCCCATCAAAAAAAAAAAAAAAAAAAAAAGCAAAAACTCGAAAAAAACCCTATGTTATGCAGAAAAATATACTGAACAAGTTTTGCCTCAGGGTCACAGCGAAATTCTTCACCAAATTTAGAATAAAAAATAAAATTTAAAATAATTTTTTTATTATTAAAAAACAAAATTCGGCCCGGCCGGGCAAGTGACCCCGGGCCGCTCTGGTAGCCTAGAAATTCCAAGAAAAGCAATTGCCTCCTTCCTGCGCGAGGACACGTCGATTGACATACTGACTACTCAAATGGCAAGCTCTGTCCATGGTAACCCAGGCATGCCTTGCGTACAATTTTTTTTTTTTTTTTAACCACCAGTACCTTTGTTGGTTCGAAAATACTCTGCCTCCTGAAAGTTCGGGTACTGGCCAGGACTTGTCGAAACCGGACGCCAAAGGGACTGGTACCAGTACCTTTGTCGGTTGGAAAATACTCGGCCTCCGACCTTTCAGGAGGCCGAAACGAAACGACGGCCGCCGATCAGATTGATCAACGTCGGGCTCGGCCTCCTGAAAGTTCGGGTACTGGCCAGGACTTGTCGAAACCGGACGCCAAAGGTACTGGTGATTTTTGTACGTGCATTGTACTCCGTTGTACTCTACCCGTAGCACCACTTTTGTAAAAAAATAAAAATAAAATTATCAGAAAACTGTGCAAAAAATATAATATGATAGAAGACATTATCTGCAACAACTTTTGCCTCACACAAGAAGTGAAATTTGCAACCGATTTTGAGATAAAAATCAACTTTTGCCCGCAACGGATAATGATAGAAGCATACTTGCGGCGCACCGACCCTGTGCGCTGCGCTGTGCGGTGCGCGGACCCGAGGTGCGCACGCGCCGCGCACCCGGGTGCGCAGTGCGCTGCGCGCTGATGCGCTGGGGGGTCCGCGCTGGCGGGGCGCAGGTGCGCCGGGTGCGCACACTATTTATTTTTATTTTTTTGTTTTACTGTTTGTTTATTGGGCGC